TGTTTAGTTTATCTTTTCCCAAGGCTGACCATTTCCTTTGTTTCCAGTGGAATTACAAGATTCAGGAGAAGAGATGGACAGCGATCTCCTGCTCAGTCGCTTCACCGCAGGGAGGAAAAGGAAGAGAGAGACGAAGGGCCAGGGCAAACGTTCTTCATCCCACCACGAGGAGGGTCCTTCTCGAGAGCCGGTCGTAATTACGGTGGAGGACCAAGAAGATTCTACCCAGGAACAGGGTACCATGGCTGGCCAGTCCCTTCCACACCCCGTGATGCAGGGTGGCGACCTCGCTGGGTCGTCTCAGGACATTGCCTTGGAGCGACCTCCATCACCACCCGCAGTGACCTACGAGGTGGCGACCGGGGGTCGCTCGACGAGGCTCTGCATCCCTCCCCTGCCCCAAAGCCTAGGGGACGTACAGCTGGAGACTCTTATCACTCTGCCTGCAGAAGACCAGGCTCGTATCTCGGCAGGCTCCGAGGACGACCTTGACAACATGGTCCTTTTGAGGCTCAGTCAGGTACAAGTCTTGATCTCCTATGCATCACTCCTTTTCTTTAGGCCCCTAACCCTCACCCCTCTGTGCAGGCTACGCTGGGGATGATTGAGAAGGTCAGCCGGAAACGGGGTCGCCAGGCCGCCGCGGACGAGGTGATGAAAGCAGCCGAGGCCAAGCAGAAGGAGCTGCAGGAGGAGGTCGCCCGACTCACCAGGGAGTTGGAGGAGAAAGAAAATCGCTGCGCGGCGCTTACCGTGGAGAAAGCTTTCCAGGAGAACCGCTGCGTCTCCCTTGAGGCAGACAAAGCCTCCTTGTCCTTGGAGGTAAAATCTGTTTCTGCTCGAGTGGCCGAGCTGGAAGGGGAGAAATCTGATCTGATCCAGTAGTTGGAGGTAGAGAGGAGCGATCGGGTCCGCCATGCAGAGGGAGCGGTAGAATCCTTCAAGTCCTCTCCTGACTTCACGGTAGTCGCAATGGAGCGGATGGAAGAACTAACGGCCGCTTGGCTCAAAACTGAACCTGGGGCCCAATGGATGGTCAAGGAGGGAACCAAGTCCTTCAATTGCGGACTCTTCCATGCCCAACAGGTCTTCC